AAAGGAAAGATCTCTTGAAAATAGAAAAAGATCAGGAAATAACGATTCAAAAGCTACAATCTGACACAAAGAAAAATAATATAAGAATAACTGATATCAATGAAAAAAGCAACAGTCAACACAAAAGACATTAAAAAAAAAAAAAACTATTTGCAGAAGTAATGGTAGAAAATTTCCCAAGCTTGAGAAAAGAATCTGACATTTAGATAAGTGAGGCATCTAGTACTCCAATTAGCTGTAACCAAAATAAATCTACACCCGGCAATATAATAATCAAGATTCCAGAAATTCAGCACAAAAACAGAATTTTTTTTGGTCTTTTTCATTTTTATTGGTACTGGGGATGGAACTTGAGACCGCCTGCTTGCAAGGCAGGTGCTTATGCCACTGAGCTAAATCCCCAGCCCCCAAAAACAATATTAAAAGCTGTTAGAGAAAACAAACAGATCACCTGTTAAGGAAAGCCTATTAGAATCATGGCCAACTTCTATTTGTGACAGTGTGTTGTTAAGTCCTCCATTACAGTTATGCTATTGCTCATTTGATTTTTCATGTTTATTAATACTCATATAGTTGAGTGCTCTCATATTTGGTACATACATATTTATGATTGGTATCTCTTCCTCTCAAATTTTCCCCTAAAAAGTATGTAGTGGCCTTCTTTATCTCTTTCTGTCATTCTTGCTTTGAAGTTTACATTGTCTGCAAATGGAACAGCTACCCCTGCTTTTTTCTAGGTTTCTATTGCATGGATTATTATTTTCCATCCTTTGACTTCAGTTTATGAATTTTTTCAGTTAAATATATATCTTGTATACAGTATATTATTTGATTTTGTTTTTTGATCCATTCTGCCAGTCTGTTTTGATTGGTGGATGAAGGCCATTGACATTGCTGGTTATAATTGATATGTATTGGCATATCTTTGTCATGTTGTTTTCCTTAACAACACACTGTCACAAATAGATAGATCAACCAAACCCCCCCCCCAAAAAAAAAACCCCAGCAAAGAAATATCAGAACTGAACCAAATCTGTGAATAAATGGACTTAGTAGATGTTTACAGTGTTCCACCCAATAACATCAGAATCCACATTCTTCTAAGATGCACATGATACATTGTCTAAAACAGACCATATACTAGCCCACAGAACATGCTTAAGTAAATGCAAAGGAATTGAAATTATCTGATGCATATTATCTGACCATCGTGTAACAAAATTGTAAATTAATGCCAAAAGAGATCACAAAAACTCTGTAAACACGTGGAAATTAAATAAAACTCTCTGGAACAACTAGTGGGTCACAGATGAACTTCAAGAAGAAATTAAGCACTATCTACAATTAAACAAAAATGCAGACACAATATACTGGAACCTGTGGGACACAATGAAAGCAGTCCTAAGAGGGAAATTTACTGTGGTGAATTCTCACATCAGGAAAATAGAACAAGCACAAATAAACAACCTGAAACCACATCTCAAACATACAGAAACAACAACAACAATAAAAAAAGAGCAAGTCAAGCCCAAAGCCCAAAGAAGGGAGGAAATTATAAAAATAAAAGCAAAAATTAACACAATTGAGACTAAAAAATATATATATATAAGAATTAACAAACCAAAGAGTTGGTGTTTTGAAAGAATAAATAAAATTGATAAGCCACTAGCCAACATTATCAAAAAAAGGCAAGAGAAAACTGAAATCTATGCCTAAGGAATGAAAATGGTGAAATCACTACACATTCTGTGGAAATACAGAAGATCATCAATATGTACTTCAAAAACCTTTACTCGCTTAAGTTCAATAACACAGAAGACATGAACAGATTACTAGAAACATGTAAATTACCACAACTGCATCAAGAAGATGTAAAACTGCGGAGTAATCCAATTTCAGTTCATGAAATTGAAAATGTAAACAGAATCTTACCAACAAAGAAAAGCCCAAGTTCTGATGGATTCACTCCTGAATTCTACAAGAAAGTTAGGGAAGACTTAATACACTCTTCAATGAAATTGAAAGGGGAGCAATTCTTGCTAACCTATTCCTGGAAACAGGTACTACCCTAACTCCAAAACCAGAGAAAGATCCAACGAAAAAAGAAAACTACAGGTCAATCTCCCTAATAAACATAGATGCAAATATCCTCAAAAAAAATACTAGCAAACAGAATGCAGTGAATCATTAAGAAGATTATGCACCACAGCCAATTGTGATTCATCCCAGGAATGAAGGGATGCTTTGACATATGCAAATCAATAATCATAATGTGCCATATCAGTAGAGCCAAAGTCAAGAATCACATAATTATCTCAATAGATGTATAAAAAGTTTTTCATAAAGTCTATAACTCATTCATGATAAAAACTCTACAGAAAATCTAATAGATGGTCCGTATCTCACCTGATAAAAGCATCTATGATGAACCAACAGTCAACAACATGCTAAATGGACAAAAACTGAAAGTTCTCACTCTAAAATCAGGAACAAGGCAAAGATGTCCACTGTCACCACTTCTATTTAATATAGTTCTGAAAATACTAGCCAGAGTAATTAGACGAGAGAAATAAAAGGAGTAAGAGTAAGACAGGGTGAAATTAAACTATCATTATTTGAAGATGACATGATTCTCTACATGGAAGAATCAAAAATGTCCAGCAAAACACTTCTAGATTTAATAATCAAATTTGTTAACATAGTTGGATACAAATCAGCACTCAACAATCAATAGTATTCTTGCATACAAACAAGAAACTCACTGCGAGAGAAATTATGGAAACCATGTCTTTCACCACAACATTCAAAGAAATGAAATACTTAGGAGTCAATCTAATAATGGAAGTAAAGGAACTATATACTGAACTTTTCAATACTCTGAAAAAAGGAGTCTGAAGAGGATACTAGAAAATGGAAAGATGTCGCTTGTTTATGAATAGGAAGAACCAACATACTGCCAGAATTGTTAGACAGATTTAATCCTGATCAAAATATTCCTCAAATTAGCATTCCTCAAAGAACTAGAGAAAATATTCCTAAATTTCATTTGGAAGCAGAAGAGATATAGAATAGCAAAGGCAATCCTAGGCAATGAAGGCAAGACAGGGGGCATCACAATCCCTGAGTTGAACTTATACTATAAATTTGTGATAAAATTAGCTTAGTATTGGCAAATAAACAGATCTGAGGACCAATAGAACAGATTAGAAGATACAGAAACAACTATAAAGGCACTCAGCCACCTTATCTTTGACAGAGGGGCTAAATATGTTCACTGGAAGAAAGCCTCTTTAATAAATGTGTTGGGAAAACTGGCTTTCCATATACTGAAAACTAAAACTAGACCTATGTCTATCACCATGCACTATACTAAAGTCAGAATGGTTCAAGGATCTAAATATTAAAGCAGAAACACTAAATCTATTAGAAAAGAAAGCAGGTAGAAATCTTGAAGAAATAGGTGTAGGTACAGAGTTCACGAACAAAATCTAGACTGATGAGGAATACCTGAATTAATAGAAATCTCACTATATTAAAAAGCTTTTGCATAGCAAAAGAAATCTCCAACAGTGTGAAAAGAAAACCCAGAGTGGGAAAAAATTTAGGCAACTGTACTTCAAACAAAGGACTTCTATCTAAAACATATAAAGAACTGAAAAAAAAAATCAGACTCCCTAAATTCAAATACCTGATACAAAAATGGGTATCTTAATGAATACTTACTTCTCTGATGAAGAAATACAAATGGCAAACAAATGTATGAAACAATGTTCAACATCACTGGTCATTGGAGAAATGCAAATTAAACCAGCACCGAGATTCTGCCTCACCCCAGAAAGGATGGCTATCATCAAGAAATCAGCCAATAAGAAATGCTGGAGTGTCTGTGGGGAAAAGGAACCCTTCTTCACTGATGGTGGGAGTGTAGACTTGTACAGTCACTGCGGAAATCAGCGTGGAGATTCCTCAGAAAACTAGGATTTGAGGTCTTGTTTGACCTAGCTATTTCCTTTCTGGGTATCTTCTCAGAAGAATTCAAAATACATACTTCAGGGATATGTGTGCACCGATTTTTATAGCAGCACAATTTGTAATAGCTGAATCTTGGAAACAACCAAAATGCCTGTCAACCAAGGAATGGTTAAAAAAGATGTGGTATTTTTATATAATGGAGTACTACTCACCATAAAGAAGGATAAACTTGAGACTTTTCTAGTTAAATAGATGTAACTAAAGACCATACTCTTAAGTGAAACAAATCAGACTCCGATGAGTAAGCATTGCATTGTCTCCCTTGTGTGAGACAGTGAAAGAGTGTAGAAGGTCTAAAATGTACAACAGATATCGTGAAATGGGAAAAACTGTTCAAAAGGAAAAAGGAACTAGGATGTGTAAAAGGGGAAAGGATGTAAGGAAAAAGGGGAAAAATGCAAGTCAGTTATACTATTAGTGTCTCTTAAATCATTAAAATGAAGGTTTGTGCTAATACTGAAGAAAGTTTTATGCCCATATCTTGTATTCTAAAGATAACAAGTAATATGTTAACTATTGTTACTGTGCTGTTATATTGTTGTGAAATTTTGTTTTACCTTTTTCCCTTAAAAAATACTAAATATTTAAAAGATGTTAAATATGTATGTTTACTTAATATATTTTAAATTTTTGAGTAATTTAAATATATTAATATGTGAAATATATCACTGTACGTTGCTGCATGATAAAACTGGACAAAACTTTTATTTCTTATTAAAACTTACTGATATTTATTTACTTCATGTAGGTCATAAAAAATCTTAACACTGAGACTAGAGATATAAGTGTATTGTCCTAAATATTTGTGTTCTCTCAAAATACGTATGTTGAAACCCAGACCCAGTATGACTATAGTATGCATTGGAGTCTTTAAAGATTGATTAAATCAGGAAGGCTCTGCCTTATGCACGGGAGGAGTGCCCCCATTAAGAAGTTTGAATAAATCCCTTTCCTTCTGGTCATGTTAGGACACAGCATGAAGGCATCATTTAGCAGAGATCAACCTTCGTTAGAAAGCAAACTTCCTGGTGCCTTGATTTTGGACTTTCTAGACTCCAGAACTGTAAGTAATATTTCTGTCATTTATAACTTAATCTAGCTGTGGTAGACAAAAGGGAGTAAGATGCCAATTGTCCTCTCTTAGAACTCCTTTATAAAGCACATTTTTCATAAATACGGCAATTTTTCTCAAGTTTATTTTATAAATTTAGTAATATTTGCCACTGACTTAATGCCTATTTTGGTGGATGCACAAGCAGTAAAGCAAAGTAAGTAAATACATTAAGCAATTATATTTAATAGGCTTTCATGGGAACAAGTAACTGATTTCTAGTAAATAATAACTTGCTAATACATTTTCATAATAGAGCATTTACAAAAGAACAATCACTTAAGATGCAGAGGCAGGACAGTTGCTGTTGAGTTCGAGGCCAGCCTGGACTGCATAGTGAGGTCAAGGCCAGGCAGAATTACATAGCAAGAACCTGCCTCAAAACAAAAACAATGAACAAACAAACAAACAAAAGGATACATATTAAAAGAACAAGTAATAAATTTCTTATTCAGTGTACTTCTAAGTAAACATTAATTTGACTCTCAAAAAGAAAAAAAAATCAGAAAAAGCAAAACAAAACAGAATAACAATAAGAACAACAACAACAACAACAAAAAACCCAGTCCACTCAAGGATCAGAGTACATTGTGCCCAACTTTTATGATGTTATTTAAATTAAAAACTTCCTGTGAAGAATACACTAGGGTATTCTGTTCTCCAAATATCTTGCATGCTGATTAGGAACATCCAATAAATGTCTGTAGTTCTGAATTTTTCACAGTGTATAAGTTGGTATTTACTTAGAAAAGTTATAACTTTTCTAAATCAGTACATTTTATTAAAAAATTCGTATCTCCACACATTAACGTTTGTTGGGAGCCGTGGCACTGTCAAGTCATCAGACGCGGTGATTGCGAGGCCTGTGGGAAAGTACAAAAGCCTGAGCTAGATTACCCCTCTCATCGAGCCCGCCTGTGTGGCACCTGTTTCTTATCACCCCACTAAGTTCCCGCCTCACAGGGTAGTCTGCCTAGCTATTAATCCTATATATAGCCAGTGCCTCCACCCCCGAGAGAGAAAGAAGCACAAAAGGAGCCGCGGGGAGCGGACCGGTAGAGGCTTCGGGAGAGACTGAAGCACGGAAGGAGCCGCGGGGAGCAGACCGGTAGAGGCTTCGGGGCAGACTGAAGCACGGAAGGAGCCGCGGAGAGCGGACCGGTAGAGGCTTCGGGGCAGACTGTATAAGGAGAGAATAAAGAAAAGCCTGACCACCGCCAGACCTTGTCGTGTGTCTTTCCTGCCGGCCGGGAGCGACATCGACAAACGTTATTTTTAATAACATAAAATCTGATTCTTTTCCTAATTCTCACATACAGGTGTTGCCTGTCATTTCTGAAGGCCCAGCCCAGAGCATTCCTTTGGTGTAGACTCATAGTTCAGTGCCCACCCGACATTTCAAACTAAAAGCCTCCCAAGAAACAGTGCACAGAAGAAAAAAGAAAAAATACGTTTTCCCAAAACCTGCTCTTGTTTCATAGAAAAAATAAACTTCTATGTAGGGTAGTTTTGAAATGTTACAACATTTGTCTTTTCCTTGGAAAATACCTAACTTCATTGGGTTTGCTTGATGAATATGACAAACTCACTTCACTATAACAAGTTGACCTGAGAAAAACTAAAAGTAATATCAAAGTACAACGTTGAAGAATTTGATACAGAATTTATTCTAACTGGCCTACACAATACATGACATTAATTGTTGAAATGGCCTAATGCAGTGAAATTTATTATGAAATACTATTAAGTTCCCAGGGTAGTAGGAGCAAGTGAGTGAGGAGATGGGACAGGAAAGGCAGAGCTGGGGACTGTACCCAAACCCCTTTGCTCACTCAGACCTCACTGTTCACTGCTGGATTGGTCTGCTGGAATTTATTCGGAGGAGCTGATTTGTTCCTTTGGAAGACGGTCAAAAGAAAGGAAAGACGTTCTCTTTAAAATCCACAGAACATCTCTGCATTCTGAATTCTGAGCTGGCTGTCTAACATGGGTGTAAGACCTGAAGGGAGCAATGTGAAGTTCTATGTTCTCCTGTTTCCAGTGCCCCAAAGAAAGACCTTCTCATGAAAGGCATCCTACAAATAAGGTGCATTTGAGGTCATGTCACTCTCTTAGGAACGAAGACAGTACATAACATCTAGAAGATGATGAATATTAAAATATTACTATGGGACGTGATGAAAATAGAATGTCAGTATAAATTCTTAGTTTTAAATGCTTTCAACTGTAAAAAACAAAAATATATAAACCCAACATTCAGTTTAAATCTTAACAAAAACACACTAAAGGAAAATTTTAAAAGAAAATCTAACTAAAATAAATATCATTTGAAAATTAAAAATGAAAAATTAAAAAGTCTAAAAACTGGTTCTTTGAAAAGACAAATCTGTAGTAAATACCTTTTTAAATGAGAAAAAAGAAAACACATGTGATATAGAATTATTAAAATTGAGAATGAATACACAGAAAACTGTATACTACTACATGTAGCAGTGTTTTCCCTTTTTTATATTATAACAATTCCTGGAAAGGCAAGCCGCTGCTTGGTAACTTACTGGGCAGTCTCTTCTCCCTGAACAGTTCCTTTCCTAATTCTCACATACAGGTGTTGCCTGTCATTTCTGAGGGAGCAGCCCAGAGCATTCCTCTGGTGCAGACACCCACAGATCAATGCCCAGTAGACCCTGAGATCTAAACGCCTCACACGAAACAGTACACAGAATGAGAAAGGAAAAATGTGTTTTCTAAAACCTGCTCTTTCATAGAAAAAAATAAACTTCTATGCACAGGGTAGCTTTGAAATAGGATAGAAATGAGAATAGAAATGAACGTCAAGGTATCCCATATATTATAATTCTTATATATAAAATTGTGAAATTAATATGCAGTTCATAGAAACATTGTGGTGATTAAATAAGTGTCTAGCACAGTGCAAAAAAAGGTGGTCATAATAATAATGGTAAGATATCTCAGTGAATTCCTCACCATTTGTAAGCTACCATAATTGAAGCTGAAAATTTAGAACTTATTTTTAAATAGTCTTGTCATTTTATTTTCCTCTATCTAACTGGTAGCCAAATCTTGTTGTCGTGGCTCCGAAGTATTCCCTGCTAATGTCTCCGGTCAGCCTATGGCAGGACTCTGAGAGAGCTTTTCTAATGTCTCTCTGGGGGCTGGGGATTTAGCTCAGCGACATAAGCACCTTCCTTGCAAGCAGGCGGTCGTGAGTTTGATCCCCAGTACTGATAAAAATCAAAAAAGACAAAAACAAAACAAAAAAACTAATGTCTCTCTGGCTGTGGCCACACGTCTGCTTCCACTCTCCTGACAGCCACACCAGCCCACAGCCTCTGTGCTGCTGCTGCACGTGTGTGTCATCTCTCTGACTCCAGGGTCTTCTTGTGTCACTGCTTCACCTGTCCACTGCTTCTCTGTGCTTCTGTTTCTTCTATCTGCAGGGAGCATCCTATTATCTTTATGTGACAGGCTCTTGACTGGGTCCTCTGAGAATCCTCCCATCATCCTCCAAAGTGGGTTATACAGTAAAAATAGTACACTAAAGCAAAGGAGCAGCAAAATAAAGGAGTAGGCTTTGGGAAGTGCTGTGTTCCAACCACAACCGTTTCTCAGAGAAATTTCCCTGTATACTCAGGAGTATGCTCTACTTCTCTTGGCCAAAGGCTGACAGACCAGTGGTGGACATTTGGGACACAAATTGGCCAACTAGATTCCTCTCAGGAAGTGAAAATTAGAATTTTAGTTGGCAATGAGGCAGCAACGAATCCAACTGATTTCGTGTGTGCGTGTGTGTGTTTTGAGACCGGTGAGAGCTCTGAACTCCCTGTGTACCTCAGCTTGGCCTCAAACATGTATCGATCCTCCTGTTTCAGTCTCACAAGTGCTACAATTACAGGTATGTGGTACTATACCTGGCTACTTTTGGATTTTGAAAATTCACATGTCTGTCAGAAAAGAAAAATTTGGGGTTTATAATATGTTATGAATAAATCATGAGCCATAGATAGTGCTTTCATTGTAAAGAAATACAAAGCATGATAAAAATATGGTGAATATTTACACTTTAAAATTTATTACAATGAAAGTCACACTGCCATTAGTAGCCCTCTAGAATCTCTTGTTTTGAACTCACTCATTGTCCTTGCCCCTGTCTAAAGCAGTTCTGTAATTTTCTTTTGTAAGTGTCTTCAATTGTCTATTATGGCTACATTATGTCCAGAGTCACTCAAAACATTTACCTTTTATGTTCATTTTGACTTTGGAGAAGAACCAAAAGTCACAAGGTACCAGATCTAGTGAACAAGGGTGATGAGGCACCAAGCTTTATGTGTCTGCCTTTCTGATGGATGGCACAGGGAAATATGGGACAGTTATGTTTATCAAGTTCTAACGTAGAGTAACATATTCTACGTTAGAACTTGATATCTTTTCCTTATTGGAGAATTATATGCATGGTAGTCACATTGATATACTAAGATAGTAGGCACTTTGGCCTTGAATTCCAACTGAGCAATTCATATTACATACTTTTTATTTAATTTTTCATGCCATCCAGTATACTCACTCATATACTATGGCATGAATGTGGTTTTCCCCACCTGAACTCATCTGAGGTTTAATTCTCCAGTGTTAAGAGTGCTGGGGTGGCGGAACCTTTAAAGGGTATAGCTTAGTGACTGGGTCATGAGCACCCCCATGAGGGGATCACTCCCTTAAGTGTTAAGTCTCACAGGAGAGGGTGAGTTCCTAGGAAATGAATCCTTAAGGAAGAACAAATCTGACTGTCTTCTTGCAGTCTCTCTGGCTTCCTCGTTGGCACGCAGGCTTCCCCTGCACACAGTCATCTCCCTCTCTACTCCCCAGCCTTGCTGGGATATATCCAAGTTGGCCTTTGACAAACACCAGGGCCATGCTAAGTCAACAGCTCCCCTCAT